CACTGCAGAATGTCAAATATGCGATCAGTCAGGGTTTTCCGTGCCTCCGACTCATCCTCATCCCCCCCAAAGATGTCGTCCGGCAGCTGGAGAATGGAATCCCAACTAAACGCCATACGGGGACCGAGTACGTCGCCCTCGCAACGACGTGCTGTCTTCTCGACTTCAGCGTACACGAAGCATCTGATTTTATCTCCATCCCGGTCACAGAGCAGGCGTTTACTCGTGGGCGCAAATTCTTCCCTTAGCTGCTGTGCGTCGCTGATGTTGGGCATGTGGCACCGGGCACAGAAGATGTTGGCGAATAGCCTTCCGGTGGGTGTATGAACCACCGGTGAGACCTTTTGAATGGCCAGCTTCTGGTGCCGAATAAAACGCGGTTTGTCGAAGTGCTGCAACTGTTCCATCAGGTTAGATTCAAGTTCAATGAGTTTGGTCTCCTTCTCTTCGTTCGATTGGAAGTCGATCTGATCGGTGCGGCACTTATTGGCTAGATCATCAGGCGTCCCAGGGGGACACTCGGCGATCGCTTCATATCGCTGGCCCAGATGTAGACCAGCCACCCGAAGAATGCCCCTAACACTGCCGATACACCGCGTGTAGGCGGGTTTGGAGACATTGTGTACACCTCTGATGAGAGAACTGTGATTGCTGCCAGAATAAAAGTAGGGCAGGCTATCAGTGGCGGTAGTGACACCCGTATTGTCAGATATATCCGTAGGTATAGCATAAGTCCCACTTTTCAGTGAAATTACAAACAGACAGATCAGACAACGCGTCGCAAAATCGCTCCAGGACATTTTGTTGTAAGTGGATTCAAGCTGCCCGCTTGCGCTTGCGTTATTTATTTTCATTCAGGATATGGCCAATCACAGCGCAGATCCGGACACCGCTGTGCGCCAATTGGTCCAGAATGCGGGTGTGCGGTTCGATTGGTGGAACCGTTATCTGGGTGAGGGTCGTTGCAGTTTCTGACAGGTTTTCTTGATGTGAATGGCCACTTCCCAGAGTCCTCTCTATTTCTGCATCAAAGCAGGATGCATGTATTTGAAGCGAGCTGAGCGTTCGGACTTTTCTCTCTCTCAAGGACACCCAAACAGTAGAATATTGGCTTAAAAAGCCGGGGAAATTCATTAAAATTAGGAACTGGTCGGTTGAGCAGGACGAGTAATTAATTAACAGAAGTCAAAGACTGCACTTGCCTTCGCTCAAAGCTCATTCGTCCGATTGAGAGGTATTGTACATTCTCAACTGAAATTCTGAAAGATGTTTTCCATTCGAACAAAGTTATTTACTATGGTTGGAATAATGCTTATCGTGCAACCCACTCTCAATATATTTAGATCAGACCATCATGTCGGCTTCTCAGGGATTTCCTTTCTGACCGCTTGCAAAAAGTATATTCTGTTAAAATGGACTGCTTAAGGGATTACACTTTTTTCTAAATTCTTGTAAATTCAAATGTATTTTATAGAAAACGTGAACATAAATATCATTAATTGCACTCGGTTAGTAAGAAATTATATCTTCTGCCAAAGTCAGTCTCAAAAACATTTTTAATCATAACAATTTCTGTGACCGTTAAATGTGCATTCATAAAGCAACGCACCTCTCCATTTATTAGCGTTAATTATAAATTATCCAACTTGGTCCACATTCATTGCAAACTTTTACGACAACGACTTTTTCCGCACACCGTAGGAATATGCATAGAATACATATGACGAGAAGTTCGGCGACCTTGAATTCAGGTGTAACGGTCATGAGGGCTCAAAATTATTTGGCTGCTCTTAAATTTTTTTCCAAAACCGAAAGATACCCTTTCTCCATGTTAAAACTTTGAAAAAGGCATACTTTGAAATCAAACGTGCACAGTAAATAGTATATTTGTTAACATTTTCCATAAAGTATACTTGAATTTGTAAGAGCGACGAAATGCAACGAGAAAAATGCATAATACTTACACAGTCCTTTTTTACATAGTAGAATTTTTAGAAGGCGGTCAGAAAGAAGCTATTTCAAAAGCCGGTGTCCGGAAATGACTGAAATATATTGAAAGCAGGCTGAATGGTAATAAATATCGCGGCTATATTTAAGTAATGTGTTAGAACTGAAAATAAATTTCAGAACTTTGGTCAACATTTCAGGAGATAGAGAAATTACTGTGCAGGCCTTCTTATTTATATCAATCAATCACCCTTTCGAACAGTGCTTCCGGAATAAATAGTCGGAAGGAAACTCAACTGAACGAACAGTGAATGGTGAACAAGTGCCAACGTGATGAGCGGTTAAAATTGATTACTTAAAAAGGAGGCCAGGCTACTTTCCATATTTGACTGAAAGGCATCGTCGGCGTCAGCAACAAGAGTGCTACCCAGACATCACTGGTCCAGTACACACAGCCTTGCGCAGAGTCCGGAGACGTAAAAAACTCCAACCCGCGACTAACCGTAATCTTTTTCTTGGCTGATAAACTAATTCAGAAATGGTCGTGTCCAGATCA